AGGTGAATTTTAGTAGGGTTTATATTTTCAAATCAAGACCCCAAATTTCAGCATCATCCGATTTCAGCATCATCCCCAACAATTAATAAATATAATATATAAATTTAGTTTTTGCGTTCGTTGACATTTTCTCTACATGTTTAGAAATGATTAAGTGGTAGATTGCAGTTGATGGATGGACATAAACTTCATAATAAAAATCTGTGGAGAATTAATTACTATTACTTTCACATCATGTTGAAAGTAAAATTTCTATAGCAACGAAGAGAAAATTACAATAACTCTCTCGATCTACTAAACCAATTTGGAATAACTTGTTCTACAATATTCGTTAAAAACCGAAGTTTACCCCAACACTATAGAAAAGCTATATTAACTTCTGACATTTCTACTATATATTTAAATTTACTATTTTCTATACCTTCAATCGCGATTTATTTCTTAAATTTTTTGGTCTTATCTAGAAAATCAGACATGTAAATTTAGGTCGGGTCACTTGTATACATGTGCGCCTAAATTATTTTTGAAAAAAAAAGATTTTCGGCAAACATTTCGCATTGCTAAAATTTTTATATGAAACCCTCTGAAATAACTATACTATGTGATGTATTTTGGTGAAAAGACATCAAAAAATTTCGGCAATAATTTCGGCAAATATGAAAATTAATATCAGCACTATCCTAAAGCCGTAATTACTTTTTTATTAAGATGGACAATTTAGGCACACATGTATAGTCACTTGTACAAGTTTAATTTTTTTTTTTTGTTTACTATAATTATTGCGTCTTCGATTATTTACACTTAAAATGCATATATTTAAAATCACTAATTTGTTATTGCGTGAGATATATAACAATATTACTTGAAGTTATAACTCCAAGCAAATGCCAACCTCAGGCATGGCATGACATATATACACAAGAAATTTCTTTCGACAATTAAGACTAGTGATATTATACAAAGGGAGTAATCAACGCTACAAATTTTTTTGCCTATTTGTGCAATCGTTGTTTTCTAAACGATTACCTGCTGCGAATAAGACCTTTAACTTTTTGCTATAAGTGCATATATACCAATGCGTATGCATACACATGTCGATGCATACATGTTAACGTTAATAAGAATTTCATAAATAAAGAAAATAGAACACGTGATCCTTACCTGTTTATTTAAGCCACAATCTACTTTTCCATTCGTAACGGTAAGATATCTTTCAGATGGAACTAATACCAAATTACGATTTCCAATTTCAACCATTCGGTTTGGACGAAGCCAAGAGCTTATCGTAGGTCTGACTGCTTCATACGATGAAAGAACTATATCGATATATATATTAATTACTGTGCTATTAGAATAATCTGTTTTATTAAACTACGCATTTGCAATACCAGATTTACGAATATATTTTTCACTTTCAGTTATACGTTTCAATTTTATTTCGCAACCTTGTTTTGTTTTTATAATTCTTGAAGGAGATTTATCAGTTATAAAAGATAGTTGTATTCGCCTAGGAACTGTTGATAAAGGTTGATATCCTGATGCCGATGGTGCATTAAGTGCTCTGTGATAGCATACTGACAGTTTGTCACCATATTGGTGATGCATCCTTATCGAAATTAATAATAAATTTAATATATATATAATTATTTATTTATTTATTATTTATTAATCACAATAAAAAAGATAAAAAAGAAAATAATCAACTTACTTGGCAATTGTTAGGCGAAACCATTGAAAACATTTCCAAAATGATATGAGAGATGTGGCGATCAGAATGTAACAAGGTATACCCGCAATTATCGTTTTTGTTATTAAGAAGTATTCGCACAAATCATTTAACAAGGAGAATCTTTTTATTATGTCTAATATCATGAAAGTAATAATCATTGGCAAAAGAACCATGTTTCAAAGCTTTTCATTTTGAAACAAAAAAATCATTTTCAACAGCTTAATCTGGTAGGATCAGAATCTGATGCCGTGGTTTCATTCAATTGGGTAACCTATCAAGGTGAAAAAATATAAAAGAATTTTGTATTTAAGTTCATATTTAGGGTACGTATGGTGCACGCAGTCTATAATCCTCAGTTTTACCTTATTTAGAAATGATATACATACTATTGGGGTGTTGCACATCATATGATTTAATATCATAGTGCAGCGCTATATGTAATTTACACTATGTAAGATTTTT